ACTGAGGTTGTGAAGGCCCTGGAAGGCCTGCCTCCTGCACTTCTGACTGCATCTCTTGCCCCTCTGTCCTTGTCCACACCAAGTTCAGTCCAGCCCCAGGGCCTTTGCACCTGCTGCTCCCTCTTCCTGGCCTGGCTTTTCTCCCAGCATCCCCTGGCTCATGCCTCCACCTCTGAGGCTTTTTCACACCACTCTGTTTAAGGCTGCCTCCCCACCCCCCTTTCTTGTTTTCGTTTTCTCCACAACACTTGTCGCTTCTAATATGCTTTTTATTTTACTTACTGACTTCCTTTCCTCTCTACCCTGACATGAATGATCTTAGCGGATAGGTATTTTTCGGTGTTTCTCTCTGCTGTATCCCAGAGCCTAGAACGATCTCAATAAATATAATTAAAACCCTGTAAAAAGGGGCCCTGGGATCATGTAATTCAGATATACATGGAATGGCTCCAATCCTCGGCCCAAGGCCCGTTCCCACGTGATTCTACGACCATCACTGTCGCAGGACTGACTTCTCTGGACCCTGCCTCTGGGCACGGGGGCAGGGTGATGGGGCTGTGACGGGGTGGGGCGGGGGCCTGGGGCTCACAGGATGCAGGCCATCTCCTGGTGCAGGTCCTGCAGCGGGAGGAGCAGGCTGGGCAGCATGAGCTGGTGGTGGTGCTGGTGGTGCAGCTGCGCAGCCCGCACGCCAAGCACGTAGCGGTTGTGAGCGAAGAGCCGGGCACCTGTGGACGGGTCCGAGGGAAGCCACGCACCTTTGCTGGCCTCCTGGTATTTGCGCCTGGCCTGGGCGCTGTCCCGCGCCAGGGTTCGGTACTGGTTCTTCAGCTTCTCAATGTCCTGGCTGTGGGTCTGGGGAGAGAGAAGAGGCAGTGTGGTCAGCAGGTCCCCAGGGCAGCAAGTCCAAGGCCATCCCCCAGGAAGGGTCGGCGGACCTCTGCGGCCTGACCTCTGCGGCCGAGGCTACGGCAGAGGAGCTGGGCCGAGGACAGCCCCTGGGGAGGCAGAGAGAGGACCGGGTAGGTGACAACTGCCCCTCCTCAGCCCAGAGTGGTATGTGGTGGCAGGCAGGGCCCCGCTGCAGGCACATAGAGCTCCACACTGAGAAGGGCTCTCTGCGGATGCCATCCTGAAATAGTCGATAATTCTTTGACAAGACCTTGAAAGCATATATGCACAACCCATGGACACAGACAATAGGGTGATGAGGGCCTGGGGCAGGGGCGAGCTGGAAGGGGTCAATGGGGGTGAAAGGGGGACATATGTAATACTTTCAACAATAAAGATGAAAAAAAAGAAAGAAATTCCTCCTTAAAAGGCTTAAAAAAAATTACCATCAATGAAGGGGTCTGGCAGGGTGGATGATTTAGCTCAGGCTGCCATAACAGAATAGCATAGCTTAAACAGTTTTATTTTTTTTTATTTTTTTAAATATATTTTATTGATTTTTTTACAGAGAGGAAGGGAGAGGGATAGAGAGTTAGAAACATCGATGAGAGAGAAACATCGATCAGCTGCCTCCTGCGCACCCCCCACTGGGGATGTGCCCGCAACCAAGGTACATGCCCTTGACCGGAATCGAACCTGGGACCCTTGAGTCCACAGGCCCGACGCTCTATCCACTGAGCCAAACCGGTTAGGGCTTAAACAGTTTTATTATATTTCATGAGGATAAAATGACTTTCTTGGGGGAAAAAAATAGTAATTCCTAGACAGGGCCCCACATTTTCATTTTGCACCGAGTCCTGCAAGGGTGCAGGAAAAATAGATGGTCGAGACCAGAGTTCTCGTCCCAATGCCCCTGTTGAGGGACTGGGATGCTGTCGGGCCAGTTCCAGCCTCTCCTCTGAGCCTCAGTTTCCCCATCTGCAACTGAGCGAAACGCATAGACTGCACGAGCCTTTTCCTTCGAGGGCCAGCTGGTGAATTTATTATTTTTTTAAATATATTTTTATTGATTTCAGAGAGGAAGGCAGAGGGAGAGAGAGAGAAACATCAATGATGAGAGAGAATCCTTGATCAGCTGCCTCCCGCACGCCCCCTACTGGGGATCAAGACTGCGACCCTGGGCATGTGCCCTTGACCAGAATTGAACCCGGGACCCTTCAGTCCACAGGCTGACGCTCTATCCACTGAGCCAAACCAGCTAGGGCTGGCCAACCCTGTTTTTTGGATAAGCTTTTGGGGAGAGAGGAGAATGGGCTGACACTGGCCACCAGGGGCCGCTGTGGGTCCACAGCAAGGCTGGCTTTTGCGCTGGTAGAAGCGGGTGGTACAGGGGCTTGACCGGAACATTGAACTAGAACAGCAATTTCAACCTTTTTCATCTCACGCACGGCACACATAAACTAATCACCAAAATCCTGCGGCACACCGAAAAACATATTTTTGCCGGTCTGACAAAACAAATAGGATAATTTTGACTGACTTACAAAACACTACTACTACTAATAAAAGTAGCAATTATTGCTCTAGCTCAGCCGTGGGCAAACTACGGCCCGCGGGCTGGATCCGGCCCGTTTGAAATGAATAAAACTAAAAAAAAAAAAAAAACTGAACCCTTTTTTTTAATGATGTTTACTTTGAATTTATATTAGTTCACACAAACACTCCATCCATGCTTTTGTTCCGGCCCTCCGGTCCAGTTTAAGAACCCATTGTGGCCCTCGAGTCAAAAAGTTTGCCCACCCCTGCGCTGGTTTGGCTCAGTGGATAGAGTGTCGGCCTGCGGACCGGGTTCGATTCCAGTCAAGGGCATGTACCTCCGTTACAGGCTCCTCCCTGGCTCTGGTTGGGGTATGTGCCAGAGGCAACCAATCGATGTATTTCAATCACATTGATGTTTCTCGACCAGCAAGACGCAACTCCATTATATGACTTATATATTTATGAGTCAAGCCAGGGCATTCACACTGGGTGGCTGTTGTTGTGTTGGCTGTTGTCATTTTTTTTACTTGACAATCTAAAGGAAAAGAGGTCAGTGCCCCTGACTAAACAGTCAGGTATTGCAAGTTTTAAAAATTCTTGTGGCCCTGGCTGGTTTGGCTCAGTGGATAGAGCATCGGCCTGCGGACAGAAGGGTCCCGGGTTCGATTCCGGTCAAGGGCACATGCCCGGGTTTCGGGCTCGATCCCCAGTGGGGGGCGTGCAGGAGGCAGCCAATCCATGATTCTCTCTCATCGTTGATGTTTCTCTCTCTCCCCCTCTCTCTTCCTCTCTGAAATCGATACAAATATATTTAAAAAATAAAATTCTTGTGGCGCACCAGTGGGCCGCAGCACACCCGTTGAAAATCGCTGAATGACAGGCTGAAACACCCAGGTAAACAGAGCCAGGCGCTGGGAGATCAACAGACGGAGGAGCTGAGCCGGATTCAAATGCAGGCAGGCCGACTTCACAGCCCCCGTCTTTAACCTCTGTGCTGGGGCCACACTGCTGCCTTGTGGCGTCTCTTGGGCCCTGAGAGGAGTCCACCCGGGACAAGGACAGACAGACTAGCCCTCATTCCTCTCCCTGTCTCTCAGCCCCAGAGCCAGCTGGTGCCCTGCGCTACCCAGGCAACGGCGGGACCACTCGTCCTTGTACTCCCAGCACCCTGCCCAGACGCACAGAGTGACAGAAAATAAAATGCACGGGGAGGCCCTGCTGGAGGGCAGCCCAAGCCTGGCGAGGCAGCAAACCAGGCGGGAAAGGAAGCTGCGGGGGGCGGGCCTGCGGTCAGGACTTCCACTTCCCTGTGAATCCAGGGGCTCTTGTGCAAAGCCAGCCCTTTGAGCTCCAAGTGTGGGCAGAGAGGCCCAGGTGACGGCCCAGGACGCCCACCCACCTTGGTGAGGTCGTGCTGCAGCTGCTGCCACTGCTCGCTGTAGGTCTTGCGCAGCTGCTGCCGCACCCCGATCAGCAGGCTCAGCTTGCTCAGGGGCCCGGAGTTCAGATCTTCGGCGTGCTGCCTCAGCAACCGGCTCAGGCCCTCCGTCAGGCTGGTGATCTCTGCCCAGGACTGCGGGGCGGGAGGGGTCACGGGGAGGGGACAATGGCCGCGGAGCCTGGGACTGCCCCCTCTCTCACCCTCCCCAGCGGCATTCGGGAAAGGAAGGGGCAGGCAGATAGCCCTGGGACCCACAGGCATTCCTCGGGCGAGGGTGGGAAGGGGGCGAGGAGGCCCACCTGGCTGATGGGGCTGTCGGGGCCGGCCCGGTTCTGGGCCCCACTATCCTGCATGTGGTGCAGCAGCCCCGCGTATTCCCGGTCACTCTTGACCCGCTGGGCCATCCACTTCCTCATGCCCTCCAGCAGCCGCAGCTCGGCCTCCTGCATCTGCTGCACGGCCGTGTGGGCCTGGGGGCTGCACAGCTCCGAAGAGAAGCCCATAGTGCGGTTCTGGGGACAGAGAAAGGAGAGGCCGTCGGCGGGGGAGGCAGCTGCTGGAGGTGGAGGAGGAGGGCAGGGAGGCCTGGGGGCTGAGGACCCAGACGAGTTGCAGGCAGGCGGGAGGAAGGTGGGGGCCTGTCTTGCTGACCGGCACTCACAGGTACAAACGCCACCTGGCTTGGGACTGACTCACTGCTTCCCGTGTGTCAGGCCTAGGCCGGGCACCAGGGGTCCGCTCCCCAGTCCTGGAACAGAGCCTCCCACCCAGCACCCGTTACAGGGGCGCATGCACCCAGGGCCGTTGGCAGGGCCCAGCTCTCCCCTGCAGGCGCCCCAGGTAGCCACAGCCTGGGCCCTGCTCCTGCAGCCACTCCTGCCCCACCCGCTCCTGTGTCTCTTGCCTGCTGAGCCCCAGCCCCTGCTCCTGGGCCACCCCCCACCCCCCTCTGCCTGCCTCCTGGGCCTTGGCCAGGAGTTACCACTCACTCACGGCTTGGGCAGCTGATCCAGGGGCGCCGAGGGCTGCCTTAGGCCCAGCCAACTGGCCAGTTCCTGATTCGGTGCTTCCTCCTCCAGGGTTTCAGTTGGCTCAGACCCCGGGGCGGGCCGCTGAGGGGAAGGGGCGGGCAGTAGCCCCCATGCCTGCCGGGCCCTCCTGCCCAGCCCCAGCCCCAGCCACGGAAACGGAAGGGAGGAGGGGCCGGGGAAGAATAGCCCTGCGAGGGCAGCCTGGGCCAGCAATCCCCAGGGCCTGGGGTGGGGACGGAGAGTGGCCCCAGGGTGCCTAGGAGGGGCGGGCGCTGGGAGAGGCTGCGGGGCCTCTGAGCCTGGGAGTCCGGCGGCAGGTGGCAGTCCTAGCAGCAGCCCAGTGGCCGGAAGAGTAACGGAGAGCATAGGCCAGGCCCTCCCCACCCCGGGTTCCCCAAGGGGCACCCAGGTGCGGGCTCCATTTAAGGAAAACTTCCAAGTTAATCTACCAAGGAGAGGCCTGCTTCTCAGGCACAGGTCCTAATGGACCAATCCCCACTCCCCTGCCCTAGGCAGGAGGGAGTTTCCTGTCCCAGGGAGACCTGGGGGGGTGGGTCTGGGGCTGGGGTAGAGTTTACCCAGCTGGGCCTCAGGGTCTCCCCAGCAGGAACACTCAGCCTTCCTGGTCCCACAGGAGGCCTCAGCCTTGCACCTGGTGACCAGGCCACTTCCTTCAGCCAAGGGAGACCCTGAGCAATGGGGCACCCCCTGCTGGACGCAGGGCCTGTGGGGTGGGGTGCTCAGCTTGTCCCACCCCAGGGGCTTGTCTCCAGCTGCTGCCTCCTTCTAGACCCCTCTGCTCCCTAACGGAGGCCCTGGAACCCCTCAGCAGACAGGCCTTGGAGTCCTGACTTGGGCCCACCTCGAGGCACGCAGGACATCACACTGGGCATCTAATCCCCATCCCCTGCCCCTCGCCCCCATGCAGTCCCAGGGTCCTGGGAAGAACAGTACCACCACACTGGAGACCAGGTCTCGATTGCATAGGTATGCAAGTTTAATCACTTTAAAACTTCTAATATTATCGGTTTCCATTAAATAGAACCAACAATGCTGGGCCTGTTTAAATTACAAGGAAAAAAAAAATCACTGTGTACCAACCCAGTATCTTACAAAACCAGCTGGGCTGGCCACAAGGGAAGGCGGGGAGCGGGCACCCCTGGGCAGGTGGCTGGGTGCCAGGAGGGGTCCGGGGTGAGAAAGAAGAGGGCTCCCAAACAGAAGGGGACTGATTGTCCTAGTGGGAGGGGTGCAAAAGGCACGTCAGAAGAGCGGAACTTGGGGGGGAGGGGGCAGGCCAGGCCAGTGCTTTCTCCACCAGGGCACAGTGTTGGAGGGGGCACGGTGCCGCCTGCCCACCCCTGGCACTTGGAGAACCAGTGACCCATGAGCCCTCGGCACGGCAAGCCCCATCTGAATCATGAACAGTCGCCCCTCCCACCACGATCCCCATTTCCAAGGGCCCCCCCTGGCCAGCCTCCTCAGAACTTGGGGCTCAGCTACACCGCACTCCCCAGCAACATGCTGCAGCCCCCCCAACACCTCTGGGCCAGAGCAGCTGGGAGAATAGCAGGGTGGAAAGTGGGTGTGGGGAGATGGTGGTCCGGCTGCTACCCCCATTAAAAATACAAAAAAAAAAAAAGAGAAAAAATCAGCATCTAAAGTGAAATAATCACAGAGTGAAAATATATATCCTCAAACAGCCCCTGAGATCCCCACAGGGGAAAGCAGCATTGGGTGGGAGGCGGGAGAGGCCGGCTGGGCCACCGTCCCTCCCCAACACCCACCCAGGGGCTCCGGGACTGGGTGCCAACAGCCCAGGCAGCCCCGGGCTCAGAAAACAGGGACTTAGGCCCCGGCAGGAGGGGGTGGTCAGGACGCCAGCGTGGGGCTTGGCTGGACCGGCCTCGCTCAGCGGGCAGCCAGCTGTGGTGAGCAGAGACACACACGCACACGTGCGCGCACACACACCCTGGAAGCACCTGCCTCGCCTTGGTCCCTTCCTTCCATCACTGCTTCTGCCTGAGGCTCATCAGAGGTGGGGGCCGTGTCGGGGATGCGCAAGCCCTTGGAGAGGTGGCCTCCTCCTCACATGTCCCTTGGTCAGCCTCCCTGCTGCCTGGTTGGGGACCATTATTGCTTTAGAGGGACAGGGAAGCAGCCGGAGCTGCAACCGGGTCAGGAACCCCGAGGGAAGGGCTTCCCCTCTTTACGCCGCAGGGAGCTCCGACTGAGGCCTGGACAGCTTGGAAAGCTGTCCTTAAGGTTTCACTCCTTCCCTCGCAGAGAGGGGGCTGGGGGTGGGGGGAGGCCCTCCCCTGCCCCCCGGCTGGTCCTGGGGCCCCACCTCAGGCAGCCAGGAGGCCCGAGGGTCAGGTGGGAAGCCATCCCTGACCCCTTTGCCTCCCCAGCTGGGTCCCAGCCCAGTCCCAAGATAAAAAAATACTTTGGTGAATTAAAAAGTGCCCAAGGAGGGGACGGGCTCGGAGGGGCGGCGGCGGGCGCTCGTCAGAGGACGCTCTGGTCTCTGATAAAGGTGGTCCTCTCGCCCCGGCCCTCGTCGTCCTCGGAGTCTGACGGGCACTCCTGCCAGGCCTCGGGGGGCAGCCCCTTGTAGGAGATGAGGCCGCGGTCCATGGTGTACACTTTGACCCCCCGGAAGCTGAAGCCTGAGCGCAGCTGCAGGACCAGGAAGACAGTGATGAAGACCAGGACGATGAAGGCGCAGCTGAGGCCGGCCACCACCTCAGGCAGGTGCGAGGGCAGCAGCCCTG